CCCCAAAACCCCAAAACCCCAAAACCCCAAAACCCCAAATAAGATTATTGCATTGAAACTAATATGAACTTATCCTCTGTAGTATCCTGGCTTGGTTAATGGGAATCTTGTGACCTTAACTGGGTAAGATCTTCCTCTAACCTTAACTTGGAATTCAGTTCCAGCCTTGATGTACTTGTTCTTAACATAAGCCATTCCGATGTTCTTGCCAACACTTGGTCCATATCCACCACTACAAACTTTTCCAATGGTTTTTCCTTCATTGTCTACAACTTCAGCTCCTTCTCTGGCTGGAGCACCTCTTCCTTCGTAGACGAAGCAGCATCTCTTTTCCTTGACTACTCCCTTCTTACGCTTGGCCATGTACCCTTCATGTCCGATGAAGCCTCCTTCTTTCTTTCTTCTCTTAGTAATGGTCCACTGAAGGATAGCCTCAACTGGAGAAATATCTTCATTCATTTCATTTCCATAAAGACAGAGACCAGCTTCAAGTCTTAAAGAATCTCTTGCTCCAAGACCTGCTGGGGCAACTATGGAGTTGCCTTCTGAGCTCTTGATGCTAGTCAAGAGATCAGCAAGATCTGCTGCCTTGTCATTAAGGACTGAGATCTCAAATCCATCCTCTCCAGTGTATCCACATCTAGTAGCAATCACTTCAGTATCCAATTTAGGAATTCTAAGCACGGTTGAGTTCATGAAGAATTGGTCTTTAAGAGATGTTTCAAAGATTTGTTCGAGAACTCCTTGAGTTTTTGGACCCTGGACTGCAATGAGAGCTCTGTCATCAATGAGTTCAAGGTGAACATCCTTATTTGAGAACTCATCATCTAAAACTTTGTTCATGTGGGCGATATCCTTTTCTTTACAGGCAGCATTGACAACCATATAGATATGGTCCTCATTAGTAGTAATTACAGTATCATCTTTGATGCCACCATTCTCATTTGTGATCAATGAAAGACTTCCCTCTCCTGTCTTAAGAGTCTGGGTGTCAAGGACAGTAATTCTTTCGATGAACTCAGTTCTATCCTTTCCGTGGATCCTGAGTTGCCCCATATGAGAGACATCAAATAAGGAGGAGTTCTCTCTGCAGTGAAGGTGCTCCTTCATTAAACCAGCTTTGTACTGAACTGGGAGCTCGTATCCAGCAAATGGCACATTTTTACCACCTTGAGCAGCATGCCAGTCAAAGAGAGCAGTACGAGACAAGTTGGTTGAGCTGAAGAATCTTACTCCCTTTGGAGTACTTCTTGTAACAAATCTATTAAACATGATAAATATTTAATAATTACTCCTAAAATTCATAACGGGGTTTTGGGGTTTTGGGGTTTTGGGGTTTTGGGGTTTTGGGG